GAGTGAACAGGTCAAGGAAAGAGAAGAGATCTTATATTAGCAGAAGACAAGAGGAGACCCCGTTTTGGACGAGGGGGTTGTGGGTGGAGAAGAGGGTGGACGGACAGGAGAGAGTAAGCAGCATTCAGATAGCACGGGCATGGCGTGAAACCCTTTCAGAAGGGAAAAAGTGCCAAGAGAAGTCGCGACACAGTATAGAAGATGACAGAGGAACGTGCAAGCAGCAGCCAAATGCAAAAACCGATGGAGAAACGCAGACACGAAGCAGAGCACACGGCCAAGTTTTCATGGCATTTCGTTTCTCACACTGCACTTGCACCACCCTTTTGTCAACAGCATTCATAACTATTATTCAACTATTTCCAACGTCCAGACCAGCTCTAAACATTTAATAGTGTGCTTCTGGGGAGAGCTTGTGCCTGCTCTCTTAAAGGAAAGGAGACACACTACTTGTACCATACTGCTTAAAGCCATTTGACTTTGAATATTTCAGTCATTAAGTCTTGGCAGCAGCAGATTTTATATCAGATCATTCATTGCAAGGCAGCCTGAGGTGTGGATTTGCAGCACATCAGATGCACCAAATCCAGCATCCACACGAACATCGGCTTATTGCAAGATGACGTAGGGGGCTTCCATTGGTGGGCAAACTCTACTTTGCCATCCTGACTGGGTGAAAGGAGGTACCCAGATAGCCTCTAAGATCCTGTAAGCTCACTGAATATCGGCATTTTTACTTATTTTATGATTAGCTTTTGACAGAGCCATACTCTGTGTTTGTCAGCACCCGTCCCATCTCATGTCAAGCAGAAAGTATACTTCAAAACTTTCCACTCAACACTGCTTAGGTGCAAGGACTAAATGACTGCAAGGACTAAACCCACAGCCTGATAGGTTTTTCTTCCAAGAGTATTATCACTGTAGGTTAGGACTTTATATTAAGCCTATATAGACACACTAAATCTATCTCAAGCTAGTTAGCAGCTGATAAATTACACCAACGTGAACTGTGATCACTATACACAGACTGGATAGTCAACTAAGTTAAGAACATTGCCATATTCAGTTCATGGTGGTTTGTAGCTGAAAAGGGCTCAGTTCTGCAGGCAAACAAGCTCACAGCTATTAGTTTCTTACACAGCAGTTGAACTGAACTTCTTTCCCATTTTGCCTTTGCAAATCACACAAACTGCAGAGCCCATTTCTCTTGGGATACCAAAATCAGAAAGACCACAACAATCTCCGTACGTAAATATGGAAACCAGTATCTGAGCCCCCAAAAGCCATCACAAGTATAATCCAGCACTCAGTTTTCAGTCTTACTTACTTGTATTTTAAGAGCAGCCACTGAACAAACCACAGTCCCACAAGGATCATGCCATTAATTTCACAAATAGAAAAGGCCCATTGCACCCGATCAAAGCGATCAAAAAATGCATCTGGTAGGGGAGGCTGCACCTCCTTGGGAGGCACTCGTTCGTGAACGACTGAGATAGTCACTGTGGTAAATATGAAACAAGAAAGTGCATAAATAAAAGCCACGAAAGTCTTCCCCCACTCCATGGGATACTGTGAGCGCTCCGGCTCTGGCATGGGGATCTTTATCATCTCCTTCTTATACCCATTTGGCATCCCGTTCAGTTTCGTTTTACCGCTGAAGCCGTTTTCACGTGCGGCGTCATTCATGCTGACAAGGATGTGCCCATTGATGTGCCCGTTTTTGTGAGCCTCGATGTGGTGAGACATTTTCAGAGTCTCAATCATGTGCAATAAGCGCTGCCCGCTGTCGGAAGACACCCGGGACAGAGGCGACTTCTTAAAATCCTCCTCCGTTAGATTGATCAAATCCTGCCCGGTGAAGCTCTTCAGTGGCTCACAATACTCGGGCACAGCATTCTCCGTTAGCCAATTCGTCACCTCCTCAGGCGACCACGACATCACTTCTTTCATGGCGTCAGGCAACCCGAGCACAGTCTGGCATGGATTTTAAATTGAGTAGCAGTCCCTGCGATACCAGTGCAGCGGAAAGCTCCTCCGTGGCTTTTTCATCTTGTCAGAGGAACCTGTTTGGCCAACGACGAGTCCCCACCTCGAACACGCGGGCGGCGTGGCAAGCATAGGAAATGCTTCACTTCATATTCGTGCTTGCATTCTTCTTTCTAGTGAGGGGAAAAAAAAAAAAAGGAAACCCAAACCAGTTATTAAGACGGCCTTTACCAATAGCTTGGAATTCATGTTTAAAGACAAAATTACCGCAAAAGAATAGCGAGGCTCTGGCATGAAAAAGATTTATCAGTTCGAGTCTAGCCTTGCACATACAAAACTGTCCTTTCTGAGCTTGCTACAGATTATTCAAGAGCATTAGCAATTTGGCATTGCACATATTACTTCAATAGCTGTGGGAAGGGATCCTTCCTGCTCTATCTCTGTGAGCTCTATATTGCTATGCCGTTCTGGTCCATAACCAGTACCCAAACTCCTTACAATAACAATACTAATGGGAATAAGGACCTACAGAGCAAATGTTTAATGTTATTAATGTTGCAAACCTTTCCGATCCCTGCAGCCCCACTCTGGCGTATTAGCTGAATGCATTGCACCTAATTATTGAATGGCAATAGCTCGGCTTTTGTTCTGCACAGCAAAAAAATCTAGCATACCACACTGAACACTCTTCTGGAGATCAGCAACACACAAAAACGATGTATACAAGCAAAGTTATACTTTCTGAGTGAAGTATGAGCAGGAAAGCCAATGTGGAGGCCCAAACAGGTCGTCTCGATAATAAAGCAAAGCCTTTAGGTTTACAGGACTCTAGCAGATGCTCAGACTCATTTCAAGCTAAATTCTGTATTATATTGTTGCAATTCAAATAAATGCCTATGGTCAACTACAGAATGAAACAGCAGAAAAAAACAAAAGTGATACTAAAAAAATTACCAGGTAACAAATTTCTACATTCAACAAATTGCAAAAATAGCAAGCTTACAAAAGCTAGTTACCTAAAATATAAAACTTACAGGAAAACTTCAGACATGCGCAGATGTTACTCGGCAGAGCCTCTCACTGCACTTAGGGACATTAGCAGCAAACTCCCTAGTAGGAGGGGGAGACCATGTGGCAGTGGATGTCAATAACAAGACTCTCATGTTTAATAAAAGAAAAAGCTCTGAACAAAGGCCTTATGGTATTTTGAGAGTCACCTTGTTCCCTGGCCAGAGTAAGCAAGCAGCATCGCTTCCGGCCTGTTGCACAACCCGTACCCACACGTGTATTTATGTAGGTGGAGCAAATAGGGATGAGGATAAATATTCTCCCTTGTGAACATCAGTGCAATTGTAAAACAGCAGAAGAGAAGATACAGGTCCTTCTCTCAGTAGGATCATCTGTACCGAGGAAGCCTTTTAGCCGCACATCACTTCATCTTTCCTGCTGTGTTCAGCAAATTGGTATTCAGTTACACAGCGCTGAACACAGAAAAAGGGATCAGTTGAATTATGCACGTTAACCCACGTTACAAACTCCTACAAGACTTTCACCAAAGTATAGTATCTTGACTCTCCGTCACGCTGGTCCCCAGTACATTCACCGCAGTCACAACAACATTATTACAGGGCACCAGAAATACTGGATCTTCTAATAGCTGCAACATAAAACTCAAGCACGGATCGCTCTGCATGCCAGGGAGCCTTCGGCATCACCACCAGTTACTGCAAGACGCTTTGTGTCCAGCTCCTCATCTGGCCTCAGTTGTGTGCGTTAGGGGCTATCTCAGCCTTGAGCTTCCTTGCTCCAGGAGCTGGCTGACGCATGGGACTACGCTCCCCTGCTGAAGACAAAAGAGATGGTAACATCATCTCCTTTTTGATGTCCAGAATATTTTGGTCTCAAGTGCTGCAACAGTAATTCACATCTCGGGAAACTGTTATCTATTTCAAGGAAATATCTCTTTCATAAAGTGCACAGACACTTTTGCAATTGTCCTTGGGCTGAAAAATCAGAATACATGAAATGCAGCACCAGAAACCACTCAGCCTCTAACTCATAACTAACGCTAATGGAAATAACTGATACTAATGTCCTCTGAAACTACAGCAGTCCATGTGTTTGCTGCTTCTGCGGTTGGTGTCATTTACCTTATGATCTTTATAAGGCATTAAAAGTCTAGAGTTACTCATTTTTTAATCCTGTTATTAACGTCTTGGCTCGCAGTCCGCAACAGGCTGTCATTTTCCCATGCCATTTAACAGCTACATCAGGTGCCTCCACAAGTTTTGCTTTGTGAATTCTACATTGGATTTTGGGCTGTTGGCACACACCACAAGGTGGGGCAGTATTAAGCCTTTTAAATTTTAAAAGCTTGACTCTTTGAATCACAGTTTCCCAAACCACTCGGAAAGCTGGAAGGGGAAAGGAGGAAAGAGTATCTTTAACCATTATCACCTTGACATACCAGTCTCTCTCTCCAGCCCCGGACAATATACTGCAAGCCTCTGGCTTGCTCAAGGATTCAGGATTCCAGAGACACTGAGTACAACATCGAGGACTTCATAGACGGACTGTTTAAGTGACAGCAGCCAGCTTTCCAATTACCTCTCACTACTCACCACATACCTGTATCTCCTCATGCGTAAGCTAAGCTAGTAGGTTTTAAGGTGAGCTCTCTGTGGAGCCTACTATCACAGCAGTGAAAAAACAGAGTCTATTACCAGGCACAAATACTAGTTTGACGCTAGCACAAAATTCATAATACGCTACTGTAGCCCAGTGATACCTGTTCTGGCAGCTTTATGAGAAATAGCAAGTGCATTTTGCAGTAAAACGACAGGAGTTGGCAAAACTGCTAATGGGAAAAAAAAATTCAATTCATAAACTTGGATGGGCTTTATTTTTTAAACTCACCATCAAGAAGGCCTTCAAAAGGTACCCTAGAGAAAAATAAAGATTGCTCTTGGGTCCTATTTTTGTGTCTTTATAGTGCATAAAAGCAGCACTCCTAAGGGATCTTGTTGGTTTTAAAAATGAGAAATCCCACCACACACATACTCGCACACTTTCATCCCTGTTTGAAATCCAGGTCCTGTCCTCTGCGGATGAACACACAATTATGGCTCAGAATCAGCAAGGAGCAGTAAGGCAATGCGCAGAAACCCTCAGCACCCGTGGATGGCATTTCTCAGGGTGCAAGCACAGCGTTTGGGGAACCGCAGCCCGTCGCTATCGCAACACAAGGGAACAAGGCACCATCAAGCACCTTTTGCAGAGACTTAGTAGTTGTCGCTCACGGGAGGAGGGTGAGGGGAAAAGCGAAAACTCTCTTAAGGATGCAGTCCACTGATTCGTTTTCTATGCCTGCCCCGAGTTAAAATGAGATCACTAAAATTTCTAAGGAGCAGCGTATCATTCAAACTTCCATTACATATCCTGTGCGATAGAGTAGGAGTAGGCAAAAATCTTCTTTACTAATACCTTCCAGTGTGTCATGTTAAAAACACCCCTGGTAGGGTAAAAGCAGCATGAGCTGACGTACATTATCGTGCAACGGGACGTCTAGCAGAGCTCATAAGGCAGGTTTGCAGATGATGATGTCTTAAACTACCATAACCAAGCTGTTGCTCCTATCAGCTTGACCAGGTTAGGTTTGCTGACCCTTTCGGAGCGATTTGGGAGGCTAACAGCCCTCGCTGTCCTCATTACTTCCATGAAAGGTCTTCTCCCCTCCATGACAGCTGAAGAGAGGACATGCACACGGGTGTCGGCTGCTGCAGCACAGCGTCCGTTGGCTTAGCTTACCCCATTTCGCCAGGCAGGCAAGGCGATGGGCAGAGGCACGGGCGCACGCTCGAGCTTTCCCAGTTCTGACATGGGACGTTAGCCTGGGCCCCGTAACTCAAACTCTCCCTCCATCTGCAGCAGATCTGCTTCATTAAGGAGACAGTATCTGATAACCAATTATAAAGAACAGTGCAATTATCATAATAATACTAATTGCTCTATAATAATAACGATGCTGTGTAAAATCAGTGCCTGACAATATCCACTACAAGACTGAGCAAGATAAAATACCATCAGCAAAGATTCCTGTAAAACCTTGTCATGTTTACACAATCTTTTTCCCAGTGAACATCAAAGCGCTAACTCAAAACTTTCAGATCCTTTTCCACTTCAAGGACAGGGAGTTCTGGTAAGTGAAATATTTGCCTTCACCACTTCAATCAGCCCGTACAAGGGTTGCGATACCATAACCCGCAAAGGGGTTACGCCAGCAGGTTATACAAGTATTTGAGGGAGAACACTAGCAAGCTTCACATATCAAGACCTGTTTTGTTTTTCACCACTCCAAGGAGATGATGGTCGGTCTGGGGACCGAACCCGAGGGCACCTACCACTTTGGTTAAAAGATGAGATCTTCCCGCAAGAAAAGCACCAGCTGATTAAACCTCTCCACTTGGCCTAACTGCCAAGGAGCCTCCAGTCTGCAATTTTCTCTGTGTTTGGAAGAGCAGCTACGGATTCACGTTGCACATCGCAGTTCCAGATTTCATGTCAAAAAAAAATCTGTTTGTACATCTCGGGTCCCCTCCTAAAGCACTTCAAAACCTGAATGAAGAAAGCCCTAGCTGGAAGGGAGTAGGCAAAAGGGGACAATACTATTTACGAAAGGGTAGGGACAGTATTGTAAAAGGCAAAGCTAGATGACAGTTTGCTCAAATCAAATCATGCCTTCCTCCTGTTTATACAGTGCTTTTATTCTCCAAGTGAGGACCTTTGCTGCCAAGGCAACAGTCACTATAGAAATCAGTAAAATAACCAGCCATTTCAGAAACCGCAACTAGCTCTTCACCAGGAGCCAGGGAGATATTCAAATCCTCTCACTGGTACTTCTAATGTGGTGAAGCAGTAAATATATTTTAGTAGCCAAACCGCGTAGCATTGCCAAACCCCCCAGAAAAGTTCAGACGATAAAACGGTTAGCAAAAATACTGTTAAAGTGCACAAGGTCCAGGGCTAAGCTCGGCTTGGAGATAAAATAGAGAAGTCATCTCCCTTAAAAAAAACACATACAGAACTAGAGACTGACCATGCGTACGTTTACACACGTACGCAGGAGAAAAGTCAGCCAAAATAACGATGGAAGTTTGAACGCCTTAGAAAACAACCCCCAAGTTAATTCCCAAATTTTTACATAGATATCTATCTCTAGATATATATAAATAAATATATATATATCTATATATAGGTACAGATTTTTTTTTCCCCTGGGTAAAAGTAGAGACTTCTCGTTCTGCATTTGTACAGCACAACACAAACTGTTTGTAGCAACAGGGGCTGAGTCACAGCTACAGTCGCTTCCTCCACTGGCACTGTATCATAATTCACAATAATGCTCCAACACCTCAGCGCCTGGACACCCAGGACCTGCAAGCTACCTCTGCAAGCTGATTTACAAAGCCAGGGCAATGCCCACTGCAAACTGCACCTCAGATATCACTAACAAGACTCTTCAGGCAACACGTGAATTACTCCTTTCCCTCCAAGACATAGCTTTGCCTCCGTAACACAGATTGCCCCTTGCAAGAGGCTGCACCGCAGGGAAGTGCGAGGTCACTGACGTTTCCAGACGTTACAGTAAAAGTGGTTACACTACAGGAAAAATGAGAGATTTAAGTGACGAGGATTTCAAAATGAAAGTACTTGCATTAAATTAGAATAACCGAACAACTTTTCTTTAAATGAGAAACACTGCAAGCAAATATCTTAAAATCTCCCACAAAAACACATACACGTATACATGTTTGCATGTACATATATACATACACACACATATATGTACACACACATACATACAACGCACATATAACACATACACACATTCTGCACCAGGTCTTAGTGACCCTGTTCTCATCCAAACCTGGTTAAAGGGCAAGCCTCATTCCTTAGCTTCTTTGTAGCCCTAAGTCTCTTTGATCTACTTTCTTCCTCCTCGTTCTTCTTTCTACTTCTCTGAAGTAGTTATGGAAACCAGCAAACATTCATGACAAGGTTTCACCTGACCGACAATCTTCTTATCTGAACAGTTGCTAAGCCGGGCCGTTGTTTCGTCACTACGGAAATACTGTTTTGAATGAGCCGGGGGTGGAGAAGGATGGGGTGTGGGAAATGTCTTGGCTTTGGTTTAAGTTTTTGAACAATTATTTCAGACCGCAGAGTGTAAGAGATGTCTTCTCAAATGAGTGAGACAGAATCAAGCACAAGGAGCTCAGCCACCACGCTTTCGGAGGTAGGAACAGCTAGGTGCTTTCCACCTACTCCAGGGATAATCCAAGTGTAAATCTGATTTTATACTGTATGTCACAAACCTAATGCTCAAGATAAGTCCTAAAGTAATATAACACCTACAATGTAAGTGGGGTGAATGTTATTTTTGAACGGCTACCATAGGAAACTCATCTTTCAACTTAGAACACGCTTTTAGTTCTACTTCTGTGCAAGAAAGATGCGAGTAATAATATACAAAACAAAGTTAATTGGCACAGGAGGAAGACAACCAACCAACCAAACTACATTTAACTTCTAAGAACTCACTTCTGCAACACTACTCTTGAGAAAAGAAAGAAAAAAAAAAGCCTTTGAACTATTCCAGCCTGCAAAGATATTAACAGACTGCCACAAATGATTGAATTGATTCTTACATACGGGTAATCAGGTCTCACCACAGGATCTTAAATTCTTCAGCAAAGACTTCTGCAACAGTGCTCATGCCACCAAATGCATTGGTCCCTTCTTTACTACTACAAAACCACCCTGAACACCACAACACATACTGCGTTCAAAACTCGTACATCTATTTTCTGGGCAGAAGTAGGTAAGCGTTCCCGAGTTCTCCACTTGGAAGGCAGTAAGCCTTGGTAGTCGCCTCCAGCACAGCTAAATACATATTTTTTCCTCCGTTCTCAGAGGCTAGGTGGTTACAGTTTGGGATCTGGGTCAGCCAGAGATGGGGCAGAGCTAGAAATAGATCTCAGCGTCCTTGTGAAACCTCTCAGCTAGCTGTATTGCTAAGACACACAAAACAATACTTCCCTTCCCCCTAAAACTATCCAAAATCTTGCTACATTTATATGGAGACAAGAGAAGACTCCAGCAGGAAAACAGATAAAACACAGACAGGAAAAAAACCAAAACAAAACAAAACTATTTTTCCATGAGATGGGGAAATAGGAAGAGGATGGGGTAGGGCATACGTATGGAAATACAGAGATAAAAAGGAGGAGAATGCTTGAGATATGCTCCATATTTCAAGTTGCTTAACGGAGTTGAGGTGTTTGGGGTTTTTTTGCCTGCTTCAAATACCTAAAAGTCATTTACTGCTACAGAGCCAGATTTGTGGTGAGTCTCTGGAAATCTAAGTAGTAGCAAAATAAACAAATATATATCAAAACTAAAAGGGAAGTTTTGCCCAGGGAAACTGAGAACAGGCTTGTGACTGACCTTAATGTAGTTTTAAAATGTATATTCCAGCATATTACATGAAACCAGTCATGCAGATTTGGAAAAAGACTACCAAGAGGCTATGAATACATAGCCTCACTGCACTGAAGGCTTAAATCAATTGTCTTATTTTTTAATACTTTGTTTTGTTCTTGAAGATATATTAGACAGGAGACAGCGACAACAGCTACTTCCTCCAAACTGCCTTTCCTTGAGTTCTGTGTAAAACAACATAAAACTGAGTTTATGCCCCTAGAAACCCAGCCTGGAATACTATATTTTCATATTTCATTAGCAGTGTAAATATTTTATTTCAAATATACTACTTTTGAAGTCCAACACAGCAGAACTAGATCAAAAAGCCTCAGAGCCCCCACAGTTTAAATATAAATATCTAGATATCTTCATGGAAGATGCTCACTTCTGCATTTCAGCTGTTACTGTTCACAAAACTACCCAAAAAACGTATCATCAGCACTGTGAATTTTCAGCATCGTTAATAAGGTAAATCGGCACAATCCTTAGGTTTGGCTTTATTAAATTTGTTTTCATATATCACATACTGATCCCTCGTCTGAAAGAGAGAAGACAAACATTCAACATCATTTCCGGTACATTAAAAGACCAGCTGGTCAACGCTGCTGGAGAAGTGAAACTTCTGACTACCCAGACTCAGTTGCTCCTGATCTAAGGCAGACTATCACAGGACTATGACTTTCATCCCTTTCGTGACGATATGGTAATACAGCAAATCCTACTCAAACCTCGTTTCCAACGACAATTCAGCATCGAATCCCCCAAAAAAAGAGATATGCACAAACTTCCTCCCAAGAAGGTCAAGCGAGCATTCCCAGCGTTTCTAGCGCTTTCAACATTTTTCAAACGTCAGATATTTTAAGAGCACAAAGGAACGTTAAAAACAGGCTTGCTTCATAGCCAGAGAGGACGACCTTGTGTACCGCTACGTATCAGTAAAACGATTTCCAAGGCTGTACGCAGAATTGCTTGAAAGCAGTACGGTAGGTTCAGAGCGTGGCATGCACTTAGTGTTTGGAATATTTTCTCAGCTTATTTTCAAAGTTATGACCAAAAACATTCACAAATAAAGAAAGGTAATAAAAGGACTCAGAGCTTCTTATCTAACTGCTCTGGAAATCATGAACACTCTAATAAGCCTCAGAAAAAAGTTCTTCCTGCACACATCCAATTACCTCTCCTTTTTGCTTTTTTTCTTCCTCTAGTGACACATCACGGTACTGGAAATGTGGCTGTATCATTTCTTCCCAAGGTCTTTATGGAGAAATCCATTAGCCATCCGGTAATTCCGGTCCTGATTCCATCAAGTAGGGTGTTTCCCACTCATCCTTTCTTCCGCAAGCAGGAACTCCATTATCTGCCACATCAAACACGCAAGACTAGCTTTCTATTTCTATAGTGATGCCGGTGTAA